CAAGTGGAGTTCCGCAAGGGTCTGTTTTGGGACCCGTACTGTTCAATATCTTCATCAATGATGTAGATATTGGGATAGAGAGTACGCTTATTAAGTTTGCAGATGATACCAAACTGGGTGGGGTTGCAACTTCTTTGGAGGATAGGGACATAATTCAAAATGACCTTAGCAAGTTAGAGAAATGGTCAGAGGTAAACAGGATGAGGTTTAATAAAGAGAAATGCAAAGTGCTCCACTTAGGAAGGAACAATCAGTTCCATACATACAAGATGGGAAGCGACTGTCTAGGAAGGAGCATGGCAGAAAGGGATCTAGGGGTCATAGTGGACCACAAGTTGAATATGAGTCAACAGTGTGATGCTGTTGCAAAAAAAGCAAATATGATTCTAGGTTGTATCAACAGGTGTGTTGTAAGCAAAACTCGTGAAGTCATTCTGCCGCTCTACTCTGCACTAGTTAGGCCTCAGCTGGAGTACTGTGTCCAGTTCTGGGCGCCACATTTCAAGAAAGATGTGGAGAAATTGGAAAGGGTACAGAGAAGAGCAACAAGAATGATTAAAGGTTTAGAGAACATGACCTATGAAGCCAGGCTTCATGAACTGGGCTTGTTTAGTTTGGGTCACAAGGAGGAAGGTGAAAATTTGTTCCTCTTGGTTTCTGAGGACAGGACATGGAGTAATGGGCTTAAAGTGCAGCAGGGGAGGTTTAGATTGGACATTAGGAAAAAATTCCTAACTGTCAGGGTGGTCAAATATTGGAATAAATTGCCAAGGGAGGTGGTGGAATCTCCCTCTCTGGAGATATTTAAGAACAGGTTAGATAGACATCTGTCAGGGATGGTGTAGGTGGAGCTTGGTCCTGCCTTGAGGGCGGGGGGCTGGACTCGATGACCTCTTGAGGTCCCTTCCAGTCCTATTATTCTATGATTCTATGATTCTATGATCCTCCTGGTGCCTCTCCCTTCTCGCACTACCCTGCCCCCCCATGTCTACCCCCTCACCACTCACTGCCCCCATTCCCCTTATGCCCCTGTGCCCTCACACATGACTTGCTCCTGCCTTTCTCATGCCCACCCCTTCTTTCAAACCTTCTCCCAACACCTCCCCCTCCCCCCTCTAGCTCCCAATGCCCTTACCCCCTCCTCTCCCAGCATCACCCTGTCCTCCTCCCACCTTGTCCTCCTCCCCTCCTGCCTTTTTCCTCATTGTCTCCCCTGCACTCTGTCCCTTGGTGCCTTCCTCTTTCAAGGGAAATTTAACAGATGTAATCCTGGATCCTAAAACCGCACAACTGAGAAGAAAGTGGAATTACCATCCAAAAATCACCATGTACAGCAGCAACTGGTCATAGAGGTGCATGTTCAGACTCAAGTGGAAGCCACACATACAGGATTGCCCTTATTCCTACATTATTAAACAAACTTGTTTTAATCGTGTTACTGCAGCATCAGTTCATACACATACACTGGGGTCCTCCTGGCACACACACACTGCAGCCCTAACTCTACCATATCATTTCTTTCCCCCTACTCTCCCCCCCAGCCTGTAGTTTGAATATAAAACCTAGTGGGGTGACAGCCCTGTGGCTATTACAACCCACCCTCTTGTACCAACCCCCACCCCCCATCTCAATGCGGATTGCAACAGGGACAGGAGGGGTGATAATTCCTTGGGGAAGGAAGAACACTGAGCAGGGGCATCTCAGGAATAATCCCCCCTGAGGAGCCAGCGGGGTTCAGATGGGGGGTAAAAGGAGGCAGCAATGGGGGGCAGGGGGACTAACCTCTCTGGGGGAGAAAGGATCAGGAACTGATAGTCGTCTGGAGATGAGAAGTGGCAGATAACCCTAAGCAGCTGGGAAATCACTAGGGTCATGGCAGGGTGAGAAGTCAGTCTGCTCCAGCACCACCATCACCGTGCTCCCCTGCAGCAGGTATGCAGGTATGTGGCTGGGGCGGACCTGGAGGCCAGCTGGCCCCACTCGTCACAGTCTCCTGAGCGGTGGGGGCTGGGGCACGCTCCATATTATGGAGCAGGGCCCCGGTTCTGAATATTGGTGGAGCACGGGGCACCACGAGCCCATATAACTCGCCACCTATGGCCTTGGATGCATTAGATCTGGATTTGTGTATCTTCAGCTTTTCTAAATAGTTCTTAATCTGTTTTTTCTCCACTAAGGGCAGCCCACTTCCTTCCCATACTGCTTTGTGTAGTGCAGCAGTCTGGGGAGCTGACCTCGTCTGTGAAGACAGAGGCAAAGAAAGCATTGAGTACTTCAGCTTTTCCCACATCATCTATCAATAGGTTATCTCCCCCATTCAGTGAGGTTCCCACACCTTCCCTGATCACCTTCTTATTGCTAACATGCCTGTGGAAACCTTTGTTACCCTTCACATCCCTTGCTAACTGCTTTCTGAAGTTCTGGGTCTGTATTTTGCTGCTCTCCTTTCTTCCTTTGATCAGGATCCTGAAATATGATCACTGCTGCCCTGGTTGCCAATAACATCTACTTCCCCTATTAATTCCTCCCTGTTTGTAAGATGTCCAAGTGACTGCTGTTCCTGTCTGTTTAGGAATTACTACTGCAGTCATGATGGAGGATGTCCAATAAGTGGTCCTAAAAATTATCATGGCACAGCATAACAGAGGTTGCATGCAAAAGAGATCCAGAGGGCAAGACCAGATTAAATCAGCAATAAACTCATTTTGGTTTTTCCGTGCAGGCCTCATACGAGGCCTGATTATGCTTGTATTATAATTTACTAACAGTACTAACAAGATGTCAAAAGATCCCAGCAAACATCTCATAGTAAGAGAGTGTCAGCCCTGAAGAACTTCCATTCCTTGCCTTGTCTGTTTAGACTGTGAGAAAAGGAGGTATTACCCCCAGACTATGGATGAGAAACTGAGACACAGGGCAATTCAATGACTTGCCCAAGGTGCTATATGGAGTCTGTTATCTCAAGTTGCAGTCCAGTGTTGTAACCTTTGAACCATCCTTCTTTCACAATACTCAATTCACAAACCCACCCAGCATACAGGGGGAGCATGCAAGATGCAGCATCTGTTTGGGAGGTGAAGCCTTACTCACCTTCCCAGCTCACGTCAGTGTGGAAGGAAGGAGGAATCAGGGTCCACTAGTAGATTTTGTGTGCTCCAGCCCCATGGAGGGATGGAACACCAGTGTGGGCTCCGCAATGCTGGGGGGGGAGGGGGAAGCTCTGAGCCTTGGGGGCCAGATGCGGTAGGCCATAACCAATGCATCAGATTTATTGCTACAGGCCAGTAAAAAACACAGTTCAGGGAAAGGATTCTGTATGGATGATACCATTTTCCATGAAGCTGTTTCATGCAGCATTGTTACATTCACCTTCTGCAGGTGTGCTCCCAAAGTTGCATTCCTAAAGCCATCTTTTTATCCCTTCCCTGTTTACTAGTAAAAGGTACTGTGTATGTCATCTGAAACTAGATTTAACTGATTAGCTTCCTACCTTATTTTTCTGGTATCATCATGTACACCTTATTTTTGTGAGGAACACACCCGTTTGAGGGAGTAAAGACACCTCCCAAACCTGTCTTGAGCAGTTAGTTTGTAAGGGTAATGCCCATTCTATTGCTATAATAAAATAATCATATGCCCATATCCTGACAGCTTTCCTATCTATATAAGCCATAGGATACTTCAGCTATACAAAGTATTATGTAATGTTTAGCATAAGTGAACAAGAGTATTATAAAGAGAATTTAGACTCCATTATTGCTATATTTAAGCTTAATAATATTTGTGATTAATGTTTAGTATATATATGGTGTGGATAATACATGTCATCAGTATAACATATGTAAGTATAACATGGTCAACAGTGGAGAGTTTCCCTACTCTACAGCACACTTAGCACATCCATTTCAGAAAACAAAACTAGAGCAAATCTTACGGAGATCTCCCTTGTAAGCTTTTACAAAATATTGTCTCTGGCAAGAGGTAGTTCGTGACCAGTTACACCAATTAGCAAAAAAGGCTCAAGAATATCAAGCTATTTAGCTGAGTCAAAGACTGGATGTTAGCAGGGAAGCCATTCTATAAAAAAGCTCGCCATCTCTATGACTGATTCTTCTCTGACTCAGGATGGAGAAGTTTACATTTGGTCCAGCAATGGCAGGAAAAGGAAGGTTTACGAAATCCGGTGAAAGGGAATAAAGGGCTAAGCCTTCAGTACTCTTTGCTTCAGTGAGGGAAATGTGCAAAAATTCAGAATCCAGAAACCAGAGGGAAGAAACATTTTTGTATAGAACTGCTCCCTGAAGCAATATGCTACTGGTAACAGTTTCTGATTTATATGATCATAAGGAACTGCTCCTTTAAGATACTGCTACCAGAAATAGCACAGTCCTACAGGTAGCAGTTACATACAGTGCTGTGAGAGGTCACAGGATGGGGGGTGGGTTCACACCCTTGCAGTCCACATTTTCAAAAAAAGCACTCCCTACAGAAAATCCTGCGTACAGGCTTACAATTGCACAGAAGGGTGGAAGATAGGAAAAAAAAAAAAAGAGAGGACAAGAAAAGCACCAGTTCCTAAATATTAGGGGTCCCATCACTCTTGCTCATATCAAGTTGTAAATTACTTCACCAAAATTAACTGGGTTTCTTCAGCAGTAAACACTGCTCAGTGTAAGGGTGGTAGAATTTGGCACTAACTGACTTTTTGAATAACAAAGATAACTATAGAATTACTTTGTTCTGGAGACAATTTAAACCTTAGTGCCAGTTCTTTAATAAAAGAAATAGCTTCACATTTAACATTAACAGTCCTTTATTGTAAAGACAAGCTAAAAACAGTCTGCAGCCTTGTCTAAATGAAGCTGTCAAATACACAAATAAAAATTGTAAGAACAATCACATAAAAATGACTTGCCTTTACATCCCACTGAAAGAACTAGGATTATTACTAATTATTTCTAATCTTTTTGTCATGTAATAGTAACAGTTCTAATTCTTACCATGCATTTGCGATCATCCACCCCAGCTAAATCCTCTTCAAACTCTTTTCCTACATCAAATTCCATGATGTAGTTTCTAAATGTGCTTAGCGTTTTAATGATCATATGATCTCCATTCTGAATGATTTCTTTGTCAGGTTTTAGCAAGTTGGCAATTTTTCTCACAGCAATGTTTACATCTGAAAACAAAACAGAAAAAAAGATTTGCAGTAAAGCCACAAATCTACAACAATACAAATCTTTAGAGGATTGGGATGGCCCAAAACACAAGCAAATAGTTCACTGGCTGTTTTACAAAAGTTCATTACAAGTATGTTAATTTGCTTACTTGCAAAAAACCTTGTAATCTTTAAATTTGTTAATACAACAAACATACTTCGACTTGCAAAAAACCTTGTAATCTTTAAATTTAATACAACAAACGTACTTCTAAACAAACACAAGAAAGGAAACATTACAAATTCCTACTAATTCACTCTCATTATCCAACAATGCTACTTTTGGAGAAACAAGCATTGTGCATGTTTCCCTGCCAATCGCATACACACAAACTTTTACACAGAGTACATTTTGTTTGCACCTGGATACACTTGTTTTCTCTTCTTGAGTTTTTTGTAAATTTTGAGAAAATAACTTTGTCTTTTAAAATCCTGTAGTTGAATCTCTCCATAGATTACTGGCAGTAAGATAAAAAGAAAACAGACTGTGTAAAATCAAACAAAACTTTGCTTAAGACAAAGTAATCTTTTTTTTAAAAGAAAGTATTCTTAAGAATGCATTAAAATTTTGGCTGAGCCTGTGACAGTCCCAGAAGAAATCAAATCCAACTCAAGACTAAGGTAGGTGGCATATTATTATTTACTAAAAAAATATGAAAGGAATCTTACCCAGTGCTTTCAGATACTCCTCAAAATTGTCATTGCTAAGCATTTTCCAATAACCATTGAAATCTGCAGGCATTTCTGGTGAATGTGATAGCCAAAACCAATGCCTGAGAATAATGTGCTGATTCTACACCACACAGCTCAATGCCTGTCCTCTGTGGCAAGTCTGAACTCTGTTTTCTTTTATGTGTTCTTCAGACCTTGCAATTATACGAGCCCCTCTAATCCGATTACTGCTAACGGGTTACCATTAAATCCTTCCACAAAGCTGAACCTTTTAGATTTATAATGACAGCAGGATGGCTTCATTTAAATGGAATGGAACATGTACCTTCTATACAATGATAGAAATATAGCCGTGTTAGTCTGGTGTAGCTGAAACAAAATACAGGACTATGTAGCACTTTTTGATCTGAGGAAGTGGGTCTGGCTCACAAAAGCTCATCATCTAATAAACCATCTTGTTAGTCTTTAAAGTGCTACATTGTCCTGCATTTTGTTTCTTCTATACAATGGCTGTAAGGCCACTGATTATCTGGGTATCCATTTTAACTACATTACTACTCCTCTTTTATGATGCTTAGAAAATAAAATGGCTGGTTTAGAGCATGGGGATGGATGCTACAGCAGGTAGTTGGCTATAGTGGACATGTTGGGTGGCTTCTGCAGACAACTGAAATCCTGTTCTTTTGGAAAAGCGGCGAGGAGTCCTGTGGCACCTTATAGACTAACTGAAGTGTTGGAGCATAAGCTTTCGTGGGCAAAGACCCACTTCGTCAGATGCATGTAGTGGAAATTTCCAGAGGGCAGGTATAAATATGCAGGCCAGAATCAGGCTGGAGATGACGAGGTGGATCCAATCAAGGAGGATGAGGCCCACTTCTAGTAGCTGGTGGATCCACCTCGTCATCTCCAGCCTGTTTCTAGCCTGCATATTTATACCTGCCTCTGGAAATTTCCACTACGTGCATCTGACGAAGTGGGTCTTTGCCCACGAAAGCTTATGCTCCTACACTTCAGTTAGTCTATAAGGTGCCACAGGACTCCTTGCCGTTTTTGCAGATTCAGACTAACATGGCTACCCCTTTTGATACTTGTTTTTTTGTAGTATTTGAGAATATTTTCAGTGCTTTTATCTCTTCTGCTCAGAAGAGGATCACACAAGCTCTACCAGTGAAAGTAATTGTGTTTTGGTTTAAGAGTTCAGTTATAAGCCATGATTATATAGTTATCTTCCATGTGAGCAGTATTGCCAGCAAATATTGACTGGTTGGTTAATTGATGTCTCAGGAAAAGCCAGTAATTATTCAGCAGAGGTTATTATTAGGGAGTAATAGCCAATTCTAGTTACTTTATGTCTTCATCAGTGCTGCATGTCTTTATTAATCAGAGACTGCTATTAGTTAAGGGAATGCAAACAATGTTCAGACATTGGAGCAAGAAGCATTTCAGGAGACATTAAATATTGCTGAAATGAGCAAGTGATTATACAACAGTAATATATCATTGCTTGAAGGCAGTAGCCTGAGACTGTAGAATCTTCCTACACTTAGGGTGTGTCTAGACTACAGGGTTTTGTCAACAAAAGTGGACTTTTGTCGACAAAACTAAACCTGAGTCTACACTACCGCTGAGTTCTGTCGACATAACGTCGACAGAACTCAGCAGTTTTGTGAACACTGGTAAACATAATTTTACAAAGAATAACGCCTTTTGTCGACAGAGTTCTGTCGATAGAAGGCATTATTGCATCTAAACTGTCCTTTGCATCCACACTGTTACGTCAACAAAGCACCTTGCTTTGTTGACAGAACTGAATGTAGTCTAGACACTCTTTGTTGACAGGAGCTTTGTCGACAGTATCTGTCGACAAAACTTCTGTCGACAAAACCCTGTAGTCTAGACGTACCCTTTGTGATAGGTTCTGGCTGTCAATTTAAAAGCAAACAAAACATTTCACACAAGCAGTAACCTGCCAGTGATATCCGCTAATGCAAGAGTTTATAAAAGCATAGTTAGCTTTTAAAAGGAGCTTAAGAATCTGATGACCAAGGATACCATTTGTAATTGTGCAAGCTGAGATAGATAATTAAATCTCATGCTTCTGGACAGAAACTAAATCTCCACTCTTACAACATTGTTTTATAATCTAAGTGGATTATAAGGAAAGGGTGGAATGTCACCAGGAAAGCATCATGTAAAAGTTGTTTCCTTACATTACAAACAGATTTGCTGTATCAATGTGACATGACTTGGTATTGCAAATACTATATTAGTATGTTCCTAATGCAATGGTGGGAAGAGCAATCAGGTTGACATCATTCATGATCCATCAGGCATTTGAAGTTCACTGATAACAAATGAATATACTCTTGGATCTTCAGAAATGATGTATGTGGAGTAACTTCAATTTAATAATTGTGCATAACATCTTGATGCAACAGGGTGACATTTATGCTCCAGCTACATGACTCAATCTTGCAACTCACACACAAAGGGCTGTAGTCATCTGATTTTGGGATGGGGAAACTAGCATCTGAAATCAGATGCAAACAACATGGCAAATGTCTCCTTTGATCCTTTCTCTTGACTCATGTTGCAAAAGGTATGCTGCAAAGAGTGGAACTAATAAACTAGGTGACATGTCCAGCCGGATTCCTGTGGTACGTACCAAACTTTACTGTAAGTATAACATATTAACTGTACTGAATCTTGTAGATCATGTCAACAGCCAAAGGTCATACATTTATAAGCTTGTCAATTCAGATTATGTAAATATGGAAATTAATCATATCACTGAAACACAGGCAAAGGCATGCAGCTCACGGTATGCCTACACTACCCCGCTAGTTCGAACTAGCGGGGGTAATGTAGTCATCCGCACTTGCAAATGAAGCCCGGGATTTGAATTTCCCGGGCTTCATTTGCAAGTGCGGATGACTACATTACCCCCGCTAGTTCGAACTAGCGGGGGTAATGTAGTCATCCGCACTTGCAAATGAAGCCCGGGATTTGAATTTCCCGGGCTTCATTTGCAAGTGCGGATGACTACATTACCCCCGCTAGTTCGAACTAGCGGGGGTAATGTAGTCATCCGCACTTGCAAATGAAGCCCGGGATTTGAATTTCCCGGGCTTCATTTGCAAGTGCGGATGACTACATTACCCCCGCTAGTTCGAACTAGCGGGGGTAATGTAGTCATCCGCACTTGCAAATGAAGCCCGGGATTTGAATTTCCCGGGCTTCATTTGCAAGTGCGGATGACTACATTACCCCCGCTAGTTCGAACTAGCGGGGTAGTGTAGACATACCCTCCGAGACTACTTTTGAGTGTAGCTTATACAGTTCCTCTCTCCCTTCCTTTGTGGAGTCTTCTACGTGAAAGCTGAATGTGACTGGATCTGAAAGATATTGGGCCAACACATGGAGGAATGCATTTGAATGGTTTGCCAGCTCCACTGTAACATTTAAGAAACAGCTACTCAGCAGGCATCTTAACTACTTTTACTGCATTATTCATCATACAAACAGTACAGTTCTAGTTGCACAATTATACTAAGCTATAAGAACATAAGAATGGCCATACTGGGTCAGAGCCCAGTATCCTGTCTGCTGAGAGTGGCCAATGCCAGGTGTCCTAGAGGGAATGAATAGAACAGGTAATTATCAAGTCATCCATCATCTGTTGTCCATTCCCAGCTTCTGGCAAATAGAGGCAAGAGACACCATCTCTGCCCATCCTAGCTAATAGCTACTGATGGACATTTCCTCCCTGAACATATCTAGGTTCTTTTTGAACCCTTGGCCTGTACAACATCTTTTGGCAAGGAGTTCCACAGGCTGACTGTGTTGTGCGGAAAAAATATTTCCTTTGGTTTGTTTTAAACCTGCTGCCTATTGATTTCATTCAGCGATCCCTAGTTCTTGTGGTATTAGGAGTAAATAATACTTCCATATTTTCTTTCTCTACAAAGCAGTCATGTTTTTGCCCCCTCACTGTTTACCCTTTTCTCCAGATCATTTATGAGCACGTTGAATAGGACTGAAGGACAGGCTCCTGGGGAACACCACTATTTCTCTCTCTCTATTTTGAACTGAGCATTTATTTCTACCCTCTTATACCATGACACCTTATTTTAAGAGCTTTTGGTGGAGGAACTTTTCAAAGACTTTCTAAAATCTAAGTACACTATATCTACCGAATCGTCCTTGTCCACGTTTATTGATCCACTCAAAGAATTCTAGTAGATTTGCAAGGCATAATTTAACTATACAAAAGCCATGTTGATCCCCCCCCCCAAATTATGTTAATCTGTGTTTCTGACAATTTTGTTTTTCTCTTTATCAACTAGTTTGCCAGTGAGACCTGCTTATAAGCCTTTAATTGCTGGGATTATCTCTGCAGACCTTTTTAAAAATTGGTGTCACGTTATCCTCTAGTCCTTTTGTACAGAAATTAGTTTAAAGTATAGATTACAAACTACAGTTAATAGTTCTGCAATTTCACATCTGAGTTCCTTCAGAACTTGTGAGTGACTACCATCTGGGTCCTGGTGATTTATTATTTAGTTCCAAAACCTTCTCTAATGACACCTCAATCTGTTCCTCAGATTTGTCACCTAAAAAGAATGGCTCAGCTTTGGGAATCTCCCTCACATTCTCAGCCATGAAAACCAATGCAAAGAATTCATTAATTTCTCTGCAATAGCTTTATTGTTAATCCACCAGTGGCTTCCTGATTCTAATGTACTTAAAAAAACTTCTGTTACTTGTTGAGTCTTTGGCTAGAGCAGGGCTACTCAACAAGTGGCCCAAAGACCACATGTGGCCCACAGCCCCTTTGTTTGCAGCCCGCGGTACAGTTTGGGTTTATGTGGGGCTCAACACGCAGCTGGGAGCTGAAACAAAAAAGCAGTCAAGTATAATGGTGTTCTGTTGATATGCGTTTTAGTAGTTAAATTCCTGGACTGCATTGCTCATTAAAAGCGCTGTCATATGGATGGAAATCGGGTAACTATTGCATTTTATTGATATCAACAGAACTGACTTAAATGGGACCTGTGTTATGTGTAGTCTTGCCTTAATTTTTGTATTCATGCCTGTCACTGTGAAAGAAGCTACTTGCATATATTTTCATATATATTTGTATGTATATGCAACTACACTTAAGTTGCAGCCCTCAGCATGTACTTTGAGTATCATTGTGGCCCCCCCGGGCTTCCGAAGTTGAGTAGCCCTGGGGCTAGAGGTTCTTCAAATTCTTTTTTGGCCCTCCTAATCATATTTTTAGATTTAATTTGCCAGAGTTTATGCTTCTTTCTATTTTACTCACTAGGATTTAACTTCCGCCTTTTAAAGAATGCCTTTTTGTTTTTAATTGCCTCTTTTACTTTATTGTTTAGTCATGGTGGCACTTTTTTCATTCTGTTTTTTTTTAATTTGGGGGACAATTTTAGTTGAGCCTCTACTGCTCTGTCTTTCAAGTCTCCATGGAATAACCCAGTGGTCACCAACCAGTAGATTGGGATCTACCAGTAGATCTTGGAGCCTTTGACAGGTGATCCTGACTGGTTTGGCCGGGAAGCCATCAAGGGCTGGCACTTCAGTTGCCCTTCCACCCACTGTCATGCTATTCTGCCCTCTGCCTTGGAGCTGGCCCCTTGGGAGCCTTCTACTTGCTGTGCAGGGCATGGGATGGAGATGGGAAGGTGCTGATGTCAGAATGTGTCTCCTTCCCCCACTCTTGTACCCCATCTCCACACAGAAAGAAGGTGACGGAGGGAGCTTGGCAATGCACATTTCTGACATTCTGACCCACTGTGTGTGTCATTCTCACAAACACACTGTTCTTCTCTCTCATCTCCCAACCCAACACATACGTGGGGGGTTATTTCTGTTGCTGCTCGCAAAGTGGGTTATTTTGGGTTTTTGACTTGTCTGTGCATTTCATAATTTTCATTTTTCCTTTATGCTTACATTTAATTCTAATTTGAGTTCTAAAATGCCTAACCTGTTGGAGTAATTATCCCTGTGGGAATTGCTGCTCCTGGATGTGGCTGGCATGTTCCTGCAGCCCCTGAGAAAGGAAGAGAGGGGAACTCCTGTTGTCCTTGCCTGCAAACACCACTCGTGCAGCTCCTATTGATCAGTAATGGGGAAATATGCCCAGTAGAAGCTGTGGGCTCAGGGCCTGTAGATGAAGGGCAGCACATGGTACCATTGCTGCATATGCCAACTACTTTCAGGAGTGGTACAGGGCCAGGGCAGCAGTAAGCCTTACTTAACTCCACTGCTCCATCACACAGAAGCAGTCTCAGTTAAATGGTGCCCAGCCAGAGCCTGCTTCCTGAACCCGTCCCAGCACAGAACCTCCTCCTGCACTCAACCTCCTGCCCCAGACATAAGTCTCCCTGCACCCAAACTCCTTCCCAGAGCTTGCACCCTGAAACTCCTTCTGCACTCCAATCCTCTTTCCTGGATTAAGCCCGGAGCCCCTCCTACACTCGAAACTCCTTGTCCCAAGACCAAAGCCTGCACCCCAAACTCCTAATCCAGCCTGATGAAAGTGAGTGAAGATGGAGGAGGAATTGGGATGGAGTGAGGAGGGTGAGGCTTCGGAGAGGGGGTGGAGGAGGGGCAGGGCCTCAAAGAAGGCACAGGAAGGAAGCGGGACAAGGGTTTGCACTTAAACTCAAAGTGATTGTGTGGAAAAGGCTGGAGATCACAGGATTAACCCATCATTTTGGGTAAAAAATTATCCCTTTCAAATTACATCAGATTTACTTATGAGATGAGATGCCTATCAACATAGTATATAGCTACTGTATCAGTTATGTAATTGTGTCTGGCACTCCAAATGTTGCTGCCATTCAAAATATATATAACCACTTGACCACTGAAACACATTTAATAATCAACAATATCTGATTCTACCAGCAGTTGATATTACATTTGGGTGTTTTTAGTTGTTTCCCTTAAAAGTATTTTCTCAACTATGAGCTGTTCAGTAATTCTGAGGACATGGCTTGAATTAGGCTCTCTCATATCAGACACAGAGAAAATAGATTTTTGGAAAATATCCTCTTTTATTGCAAACTCCTAAGGATTACACGCAAAATAGAATGCAGCATGTGTGGTCTATGAAAGCCAATGCAATACACAATCTCATTGTTAAAAAGAATCCCATGACACTAGAAGAGCATGCACTGTGAACAATCATTGTATTGAATTTGTATGATTTTATACAGGACATCTACAAACTGCTGAGTTGGGAAAACTCAAAGATTACTTGAGGGAAAGCGGCAGATAAATTTCACCACTTCCCATAAATTATTAACAAAATGTTTCAAAACATTGGTTGGCATTACTAGGCTTCCAAAGTGCAGAGACATCTCTATGGGCTATTCCTGCAGGAAGGAAAAAAACAAGAACAGTAGAATCCAGTGTTTTAGATATTCTCACCTGAATGCAGAGAGAGACAGTGGAGAATCTCCAGTGCTGCTTGATGTTGACATAGGGGGTATGGCTGGGGCTCCCTTGTAGCTGGGCTGCCATATCAACAGCTTCAGATTTTTGACAGCCAGCTGCTCTAGATTATGCTGGACTAGCATATACTGGGCTCAGGAGGGAAGAAAAGAACCCTCTTTAAACTTCTCATTATGAGTTGAAATTAACGGGATACGCATAAGTGCTTTCCTGAATGATGGCTTTATTTCTGACTTACTAATATATATACACACAAAACTGAACTGTATGAAATCATACAGTGCATTCATTTGTGTGTCAGGTTTGTATAAGGTAAAAATGTGGCAATAACTATACATTTTTGCAGTTTATTGAAAATATTCCTTAGAAAGAAATATGATATAATTTTATTCTCACTGCCTGCAAATTGCCAAGACACTTTCAAACTGAAACAGTTTCTGGTATTAGAAGATTATAATTCAAGAAAGCCACTGATCTTATTTAGATCACCACAAGAATACTTCTACATTTATTAAACATTTTAATATTTGTGTTTAAAACAGAAGAAGTGTAAGAAGTCAGCTATTAGATTGTTCTTTAATTAATGCTTCATGGAGATCTTAAAACTAATAGCCCTTTGCACCTAACAGCTTAGGAAACTAGGAGTTCAGTACAAAGTCAGTAACATAAAAACTTTGCTGAATTATACTACAAACTTTCAGAAGCACGGCTGACTGCAGCTCCCTACTACATACTTCACTTTCTTCCATACACAAAGATTGCGAATTTTACAGGGATTTTCCAAAAGTAAATGCCGTTGTCTTCTTCCCAGTTGTTGGAATACAGACATCAGTCACTTAATGTGTTTATCACTGTGTTGTGTAGTATCTGAAGTTGAAGTTAAACCCTCTCACTCTCTTCTGTGTAAATATGATTGTGTTTAATATAGGAAATGACAGAATCTGGAATGAGATACTTCACACTTAGTCCTTTGCGTAAGGCATGTCGTACATGTGTAGCACTGATTTCATTCTGAATCCATTCTGTGACCAAGTGGATATTGTGCTGGAATCGAGTCAGAAGATTAGATTCACTGATGTACTGAACAGGGTCAGAGCCAGCACGGCTAATACAAACCAAACCAAACTTTTCTACTATTTCTTTAATATGCTCCTCCTTCCAGAGATTAGGTGTACTAAATGTCTTCAGAATGTCAGCTCCACAAAGCAGCTTTAACTCTGGGGAAACTGGAAAAGCAAAAACAAATGGAACTTTTAAAGATCCTTCCTAAAGATGAAAAAAAAAAATTGATTGGATAAGGTTATTGTTTCATTTATTTCTGGTATTTTATCTAAATGACTTTTGAAATGTTACATGAAATACTCTGCTTGGAAAAAGAGCAAGGATTTAATATGAACCTTTTTTTAAAAAAATGAAAAGACCAAGAAATTCAGCATTAAGGTTGCCCCCCCCCCCACACACTTTGGCTATGTCTACACGCAAACCAGAGGTGTCCCGGAAAAGCTTTGCTGTGTCCAAGGAACATATCCACTTTTTTGGAACAGTTTCCGAAAAAGCGGACGTGTTCTTTTGGCATCCTTGTATTCCTCTCGGTGAAAGGAATAAGGGATGTTCCAAAAGAGGAGTTTTTTCCGAAATTTGGCCCCATGTAGAAGCACCTCGTGCCTTCTGTTTGCCAAGGCTCTCCTAGCATCTGTGTGTGCCTTAGCCCTTCCTTCAGTGCTAGCCAGGGCCTTGAAGGTCCCCTTTGGGCAGTGTTTCTCAACCAGAATACCTTGGGGTACTCGAGAGAAGTCTGGGGTGTGTGTCAACATAACTGAAATTTGAAGAAAACTGAATTTTGTTTTAAATTTTACAGGGTTTTTTTTATTGTGTGCTTTTTATACCCAAAAATTACATCATCCATGTGGCTATGATTAAGTTGTTTAAACAAACGTGTTGCAACAGTAGAAAAAATTTTTGTGCGTTTGAAAACTGTAGGTACCGGGTGTACTTATACTTTAATTTTAAAAAGGGGTACTTTATAAAAAAAAAAGGTTGAGAAATACTGCCTTAGGGCACCCCCTCTTCCTGTGCCCAGGCTCTCTACAGGCCCAACATGTTTGGGGCCCTCCTATTACCTTCATAGGGGGTGCTTGCCCACTGTTTTACTTGCTTGGGTGGGGTGGGTCTCCACACCTCATCCCAGTAGGGGCACTCCATTTGCAAATGTCTCTCACGCAAATGTCTCTCAGCAGTTTCTATTTCAAGGTACTGGCCTCCTGCCCTTGGTGCCTGGTTTCCTATGAGGTCTGGATTCCTACCCCCAGAGCAGCCAGAATAGTCCCCTTTGCTGCTCAGCACGCTGGGCTGCCCAGGCCTTCCAATACATGGCCATTTGTATATCCTCCATCCACAGTTTCTCCAATCTCTCAGTGTGACCTAATGGGCAGAATTTATAAAATAGCTCCTTTGGTCTCAGGGCAGCATGGCCTAAAGACCAGATTCTGTAGAACAGCCGCCTTGTATAGGGAGGAGAGAGGCCACACATGCACACATTCTCCATCGTGTGTCATGGGGCTCGACTCACCACTATGGTGCCTCCTACCAGTAGCACTGGATAGTAGGGCGCTTCCCTTTGGCTGGTGTCTCCCCTGTCACTGCACTCTGTCCACTGTCGGACTCTGGACCTGAGTTGTTCTCAGATCATGGTGTCCTCCTCAGGACAGTGCCCTCCGGCAGGGCCCACTACAGTTGTCTCCTGTCCCCCTTCCAGGGGTTTATCAGCAGTCTGGTGTCTCTGCCACCATGGTGGCTGACTGTGGCCTCCAAGTCTAGTCCCTCACTTCAGGGGTAAACCAAAGTCCTTCCAGGACTCAAAATATTGGTGGCTAGACTCTGTGCGAGGGGAAAGGTGGGACCCAGGCCCACCCACTACTCTGGGTTCCAACCCAGGGGCCTGCTGGTGGCAGTCTTGTCCTGCCCTCCTGTACTCCCCTCCACTGCCTTCTATTCCTTGAGCCACTTCCCTTATGACCCTTTGTACCCTCCTGGCCCTAGTGGCCAGGCCAGCAGCCTGGCAGGTCTCAGGCAGGAGCCTCCCTTGCTAGCCCTGCTGAGCCTGCCCAGCACTGCTCTAGCAAAGGTGCCTCTCTGGGAACTGGTCCTGTATCTTCCCTGGTCAGGGCCTAACCCACTCTTTCTGCCAGATAGCTCCCTATATACATGGCTGCCCCAGCAAGCTACACCCCGATTAGTTCTTTAAAAGCTTCTCCCTGATTGGCCACGGTTCTGCGCAAGCTCTCTTCAGTTGCCCCAGCATAGAGAGACAGGGATAGAATTTAATTATCCAGAGCAGCATTCAGCTGCCTTAACCATGAGATCATCCTTTCGCTTCCAATAACCTTCTACCTCAATCTCTACATATCTTCCAACTTCCAAAATAAATGAAGCAGGGGTGTGACAGACAAGTCTCCTTCACTATACAATTTTGACTCATTCCCAGAGCAGATCCACCAAATGCACAAAATGAGGCCATTGTCCTGTATATAAATGTGACTATTAAAGATTATATCAAATTTAGGTTGCACCAGGAACATTAACTATGACATTTTGTAACTTCTAAATCATTGACTTTGTAACTTTAATAATGTTCTTTGAACTTGTTTTATTTTCTATGCAATTTTTAGTTGTTCTTAAAAAACATACTTTCAAGGAAAACTTTACACAGAGGTTTACTGCATCACTCTTACATAGAGCTAATATGCATTATTCTTAAGATGAAAAGAGCTATAAGTACTAATTAATACTTTTACATCGGCCCATAGAGCAAAAGAGGTTTCTCTTCAATGTTAAAGAAGCCGGGGTATATCTGTACAATCCCTCTGGAACACCTGATCCTCCAAGAAAGGTGCAGAACAAAAAGTGAGCACTGACAGCATAGAAGGGATCAGGGCAGGCAAACTAAGAGATAAGTTGATTCAGCACATTTCTAAGGAATCTTCATTGATGGCTTTTATGGAGCCCCAGATAGACCTTCAAGTAACTTACCCTGTGGAAATATGCCCAAGGGAATGGGGACAGTAATGCTGTCAGACCCTTTTTAGGATTTGGGGGTATCAATGTCTATGTGCTACGCGAGCTAAAAATATTCAGAACATTCTTGCCATTTGTGAGTTAAATTTCCAAAATAAAAAATTCTTGATCAGCGTTATCAGAGCCATGTAACCTGATAACTTGCAACCTCATAGCATTCACCTGGGTAAAATGGACCCAAAGCATTTAAAAGGTGATCTACAATATTACAAAGAAAAAAGAATAACAGCAAAACGATACACACGTATCATGCAGGTGTTGAACAGAATCAGAGCTAGGAATCTGCCCACAGAGATAAAAGAGGGAGGGTCAATCAAGTTTAGCTCTATGCAACCAGTAGCTACCTCATGTTTAATGTGAAAGTAAGGGCTGCAGATATTGTAATACCCAGCATGAAATACAACATCTTTATTCTGGCAGTCAGGAAACTTACTCGATTTTATGTGATTTAAGTACCGCTATTAGACTTTGGGCACATGTATGTTATGTCTAGACTACATCCCTCTTTCGAAAACTAAAATGTCCTCTTATGTCTAGACCTATTGGGTCTCACAGCTGACTTTGATTCAAGATAAATGTAAAAAGCAACCAAATTCCTTTAATAAAACTCCTTTATGGAATAAATAGCTGAAACGACACGGACCCCTATCCAAAACAAAGTTGCATGCAAGTCTCCAGGAGGAAACAGATAAATGGAGCACAAAAGGTGAAGGTACAACTATGATATAACAACAGATTCACCGGCAAAGAACTGATTGAATTGCAGAGGTTTATCTGTGTGAAATAGAGAGATGAAGTGAGAAATCCCTCAGAAACATACAAGGGTGAACAGGAACAGCTAACAGGAGAGTTTGGAGAGGGAGTTCTCCAGGTAAAGGAGGAGTAAAGATGGGACCCTTGTGGTAAGTGGCTGTCTGGAGTGTGTGTTTGTGTGTGGGGGAGTTATTTGCAGTGTGCTGAGCTTGTGTTTGTCTGTTTGGTTTGTTTGTTTGTTTGGTTTGTTTGAAGGAGCTTCTAAAAGGTTTGAAATCTAGAAGCCTATGTTAATTGGCTGAGCCTCAGTCAGGGGGAGGGGCTACCAGCGCTATATAAGCCTGTGACTCAGCGACCAGGAACAGCTAACAGGGGAGTTTGGAGAGGGAGTTTAGAGGGGGAGGTTAGAGGGCACAAGTGACTTCTGACCTTCTTTAAAACATAACTCTTAGAATAATCTATATTCCAGAGGTTTAAAAAGAATCCCAGTTTATACTTAAACTTATTCATTAGAAAAATGGAGACAGAAGCCCAGCAGCAGAGTGGGGGCTATCCTGTTTATTG